CGGGACGGCCTCTTTGCCTCGGCCTGCCGAACAAGCGTCTCTTCGAGTTGGAGAAGGCCATGCTGCGTCTTTAGCTCCCAAGCTGAAGGGCCAGAGGTCAAAGTTTCCCAGCTGTTGATCTCCACTCCCAAGGCCTTTAGATTCCTCTGGCAGATACCCTTGTATCGCAGCTGCAGTATAGGATAAGGAGCTTATATTAGAAGAAGAAGAAGATTGGCTATTGAAGCCTACTATTTTTTTTTAGTTGGAAAGAGATAAGCAGGCAATAAACAAGAAAGAGAGGTTGTTTTAATCGCCACATGGAGTCCTTTGGTGTAAAATAAATACACAGGTCATGTAACAGAATAATAATCCAGAATAAACAAACAGCGCTCGCCCGACAGAGTTAATGCTCAACACCGAAAAGAAACTGGGAAGACGCCTCCTGTGTGTCTCTGGGCTGCATCCCCATTTCCCCCTCTTTCTCTTCCAGCCGGGAACGGAGCTTAAAACCTGCCAAGGCAGACCCTTGCAGGAATCCGTCTCTGCAGATCTGGACTTCGATACGGACGTCACCCAGCTGGAGAGCTTTGCCTCGGCCGCAAAGCCTCTGAGCGCTTCTCCAGCTGGGGTCTCTCCTGCAAAGCTGCCCGGGTGGCCCGAGGTCTTCTCGGAGTGCGTGAAAACGGAAAAAGGGCGAGAAGGGGGGCGCAGTCAAGCAAAAGACCAGGAAACAGGCTTCGGCAGCGGGAGGACGTCGCCCCCGGGAAAGGACCCCCCGGATTTGGATAGTGAGGGAAACTCACCGGGTGAAGCTTTCGAGCCAATGGAGATGGACCCAGAGGGCGGAAGCCTCGCGTTGGCCAAAGAAAGAAATCTGGACGGCAGCACCTCCATCGCTTCTGCCGATAAAAGTTGTACTATCAGGGAAGGGGCAGCCGAAGACGTCCGATCCCCTGCCCTGTCCTGTAGCAGCGACACGGATGGGGAACATCTGGTCATTGACACAGAACGTGAGCCTGGCCACGGGTCTGAACCGGGCGCGCTCCCTTCCCACCCCAGCCCTGGGGCCTCTGCCCCTCCTTCCCCCAGCCCTGCACAGGCCCCCTCGGAAGAAGCAGCCGAGTCTTCGGAGACCCATCCAAAGGCTTCTCCCTGCAGGCTTCACCCACGGTTATCCCAGGAAACCGATCCCCTGGGCCAGATTTTGAAAATGCAGACGAAGCTACTGAAGCCCCCTTCCCCAAACTCTCAGGGGCCCCTGCCGGTAACCAGTGAAGCGAGTTTGAATCCTACCCACGGCCAGGCAGATGCTCCTTCTCGTCCTTCGGCCTCTCCAGCTGTGGAGCCAGGGCAAAATACTGCAGCAAACACAGGCACCTCCTCCAAGTTCACCTGGGCAACCTGTTACCAGGGGCCTCAGAAAGGTAGGTTATGTGACGGATATAAGCAGTCGCCGTAAACCCGTGCTTCTCAAAAGGTTGCCAGCTTTTAAGGTGGGTGGACTTCGGCTCTCAAAATTCAACTTTAAGGTGGGTGGACTTCAATTCCCATGAATTCCCCAGCTAAGCTGCCTGAGTGGTGTAATATAGTTCCTTGTGTAGGTGTGTGTCCCCCATGGCCCAGTTCATACTAGGGCTTGCAGAGTCACGCTGACGCTACGCCTGAACGTTACACCTGAGGAATTCTGGAAGTTGTCGCTCACCCATTGTCAGGCCTCAAATAGCATCCGAAAATAAATCAGAGTCCGAGGCAAAGGATTCCTCAAAGTTCTAATGTATTAAGAGAGCCACGTTGGCACATTTGGGAAACCCCGAATCTGAAAGCTTCCCGGTTTTCCCCACCCAGCTGAAAGTTCAAGATCTTGCATCCCCCACACCCACGAGTCCATCACAGGCCTGACACCCGTCTTAAAACTTCCAGACTGCTGTAAACATTTCTGGTGCACCTGTACGCGCCGTTCATTCTTTGTTCAGGGCCCAGGTGAATTTCACGTTGGGGAGAAAGATTTCTTTAATGGGCGAGAAGCATCTTTGTCCGCCAGAATGACCGCCCCACCCCTCTGTCTCTCCTGAAAGGGATGCTGTGGGACGCAGTGGAAGAGGCGGCCGACTACCAGCCTCCCCAACACGGAAACCTGGTCTATAAATTGTACAGCTTGGATGACATGCTGCTGTTGGTGCGGACCACCATCCAGAAAGTCGAGCTGAGACCCCATCAGAAAAAGGCGAAGTTCAGGAGGGTAGGTTCTCTTCTTGGGTGGGAGGGTGGCTTTATTGGGGTGGGGGTGGGGGACTAAATCAGCTTTGGCTGATTTAGATTTTAGCCGGTTCCGATGCTGGATTCCTGCTGGGGTCTTTGGACTGAGGTCGTTTGCAAGAACCGTTTCTTCCAGGGCATTAAATGTAAGCAGGAGAGTCCATAAGCCAGTGTTTCTCAACCTTGGCTACTTGAAGATGTCCGGACTTCAACTCCCAGAATTCCCCAGCCAGCGAATGCCAAGTGGCCAAGGTTGAGAAACACTGGTGTAGTGGTTCTGGGCGATTTAAAAAATGGAAATGAGTTTGTGATCTAGAAACACTGCCATGAGCAGTAAGAGAGAGAATTCTCGACAGATGATTTGCAATATGGATAATCCCTTTAAGGGGAGTTTGTAGGGCTGTCATCTCTGATTCGCCATCTCCCACTCCCCCACAGGATTTCCAAAGGGGACAGAATTGCAGGGGCTGAATTCCTACAAGCCTTTCTTGCAAGAAATAGGAGTGAATGTTTTTGATCCTTGGCCATTTTTTTAGCACTGTAGTCTTGGCGGCCTATTCCGGGGTGAGTATTAGGTGCTTCTGTGCTAGAATTCTATCTCTGACTTCACACATGCTCCCCCGTGAACCCTGATGTAAGAGGTATATTCTATCAGGGTTCCAAATAGCATCCAGAAGTAAATCAGAGTCCAAGGCAAAATATTGCTCAAAGTTTCAATTTATTAAGATCCAGTTCCGGTCAGGTGCAGANGAGCCGGTGAGATTTGAACAGCCGAACTGCAGAACTGCAGTCAGCTGAAGTAGCCTGCAGTGCTGCACTTAACCACTGCGCCACCTCGGCTCTTAGTTCCACCTAACTCAAAAATGTCCTCTCTTTGGCAATAATGAGAGTTAGCCATTGTTCTAGTTCAGAAGAAAAATGTCTTCATCATTATATTACGTTCTGTACTCTCAAACAGCTGTTGCAGAGCCAGTTTAGGGACAATTCTGAGAGATATTTGGGCAGTGAGTAACAAAAGTAAGCGTTGTTCCATGGTAAAATGAGATCATTGGCAAGCTCTAAAATTTAAGATATCTTATCTTTAAGCACAAACACACCCACACATGCATAGGTAAGAGTGAGGTATTTGTAGAAGGCGGGCGGGATGCAGACTTCATGACTGAACAAAGCGATTGTTGATTCGCAAGGGCAAGATACATAGTCACCTTTGCCTAATTGTGTTGATTCTTAAGTGCACGGATATATAAATAGTCATGTTTGCCTAATATTATCGTGTGCTAAAATAAACTTCTGGGACATTAGTTAATTCTTCAGCCTTAATAGTGAAATCGTGTCATTTTGTTCAACCTGATTTACAATTTATTATCATCTCCATTTTTTTTTTAAAAGGACATTAGCACCGATCTAAATGCTGAGCAACTGGCTGCCAAATACTGTCCTCAGGTGATTCTGACGGGTGAATCTTTATATACTCTGTTGAACAATCACGGTCTGGATTATAAGCAGCAGTGGGAACTTCCTGTGTCGGTGAAAACAGTTTCTGTTACTGGTGAGCTTGTGGAGGTATTTTTTGGGGGGGCTTCGTTTGAGGGAAGGGTTGAGCCAAAGACAGCATCACCACCAGATGGATTCGTAACTGGCTGACCAACCACACTCAACATGTGGTCCTCAATGGAGCTGCATTTACATGGAGGGAAGCATGCAGTGGAGAACCCCAAGGCTCTGTTTTGGGCCCAGGACTCTTCAACATCTTCATCAATGATTTGGATGAGGGAATAAATGGGGAACTCATCAAATTTGCATTCCTTCCGAGCTGGCAGGAATAGCCAACACTCCACAAGACAGGCTTTTTTTTTT